TTTCTAAGACCACCCAAACTATACCTTTGTTCATAAGAAGCCCCTTTTTTCCTTTAGACAAAGAGTTAGTTAAAGGTAGATATTTTATGAGCTTACCTTAACAAAGTGCCACTTGGATGCATGCAACTAGGTTCATTAATATTTCAACAGAGATTTTAAAAAGAAAATTCCCCCTCTCAGGTCTACCAATCATGCATTGCGCTAGATTCTTTGCAAGTTTATTTATAAAATTCATAGAGGTCTGAATTAAAAAATAAATAAATAAACACTTTTTGAAAAGTAAAACGAAAACTAGTATGTGGCTGATTCTTTACAATATGAAGCAAAGGATATGGAATTTAAATGAAATAATAAAAAAATTATCTAATAAAAAATCCACACCTGGTTTGTCATTTAAGAAAAAGAAATCAAAGGTCTCATTTTGCGGAAATCAACTCAATTCAGTTCCTATCAGATTTTGCCAAATAAGCAATGGTTTGTTTTTGCGGTGTTTGTGTACAAAAAAAAATATTTTTAGATTATTTTAACATGTTTATTTAAAAAGAAAATTTTTAAAAATTAAAAATTATTATTTTAATATAGTTCTGAAAAAAACACTAGCTATAGAATTGTCAATCAAATTGGCGTTTGTTTTTCAGTTATTTTATCACCATTTTATTGTATGTACACCCCTCATATTTCTAGCTTGCTGATTTTTTTCGTGCTGCTTTTAATTTTTTTTTCCCCTGCTTTAGATTTTGATTCTTCATGCTCCTTTTTTTCAATAATGGAATATTAAGAAAATAAAACCATTTACGCTTAGTTGAGTGGCGAACAGATCTGCTATGTAGGTTACTATCATGCATCCCGAATTCAAAGAAATTAATTCATTATAAATTAATAATCAATCTAAATATATATATTGATGATCTGCTAAAAAAGTTTGGTATTAAAGAAATTGGGTAAGCATTATTAAAAAGAAAGATTACTGCTACGTGTGAGTAGTCTGAAATGATTTGGTTAATGTATTGAAGGAGTTTAGTGAAGAAGATGGTCGGAAGATAAACAGAAAATGATAGGGTCTGAAAGATCTAGATTTATATAACAACAACAACAACAATCTATCTAAATATAATAATAAAATGATTTACTGACATCTCTATTATAAAAGATTGACTTTTTCCTTATTTACAAATCATCTTAGAATTGCGGAAGTAAATGCTAAGTAATATAATCTAAAAAAAAGTTATGAAATTATCAAAAAAGAAAAAAACGAATATATAACTTGATATGTGTAGTGACTTGACTTTAATCATAAATAAAATCGATTATAAAATTAACAGCGATGATAGATTTATGTAATTAGAGGATTTGTTATTAATAAATTAAATAAAAATTTAAAATAAATAAAAACTGATAATTAAACACCCGCTCAAAGACAAGCTTCCGACTAGTTAGTGCTTTTATTCTCATGGCATGGAAACACGGTCAGTACATAATAGAAAGAATAAATAAATAAATAAATGATTTAGAATGAAGATTACTGGATAGGTTGCTCCTGAATTAGGTTATAAATCTGACTAGATCTAATAAAAAGGTTTCATTCTAAATGTTAAATGATAGAATTGATTATTTTCTAATTATATAATATAAAAAATCAATTATAATAAATGTTAAATGATAGAATTGATTATTTTAAAAGATAAAAAAAAGTATAATAAATAAATTCAAGTTAACTTATCAAATTTACAATCCAAATCACGAGATTGAGATAATTCAATAAAAAACAAATAAAAAAAATATGATACTTGTTAAAATTTAACAGTCAAATATTGAAAGATGAAATAAAAAAATCAATTAATAAAAAAAAAAAACCAAGCAAACTAGATAAAGCTACCAAACCTCGGGATCCGGATCATGTAAAAATGATAATTTAATAAAATGCACAATAGAAAAAATTATGAAACTTGATTCTCAAATTAACCTAATATTGAATGATGAAAAATTAAAAAAAATATTTAATCTTAAAAAATAACCTAAAAAAAGACTTGACTTACTCGAGTAACCTATTAAACTACTGATTTAAATCATAAGATCATGATAAATGTTTAGAAAAAAATTAAAAAAATAATAAAATTCAATTTCCAACAAACTCAATATTAACGGATGAAATTGAAAAGAAAATTAGTATCCAAAAATAAAAATAAAAAGATTGATATCAACTTAGGTTAATATTTTAAACTCATGACTTAGGTCACGATACTAGGATCGCCCCATCGAAAGAAACCATGAAGCATAATTTCTAACTAGTTTAATGTTGAATGATAAAATTAAAAAATTAAATAATTAAATAATGTTGAATGATGAAATTAAAAAATTAAAAAATTAAAAATAATAATTTTAAAGAACCTAAAGCAAGAAAATTAAAAATCAAAAGAACAAGGATCAAATTTAAAATAAAAACAAAATGAGAACCTAAAGTAAGAAAATTAAAAATCAAAAGAACGAGGATCAAATTTAAAATAAAAACAAAATGACAAGACAAGTTTGTTTACGTTGAAGAATGAAATTAAAAAAAAATCAATATTAAAGGACTTAAAGCAAAAAATAAAAATAAAAAATAAAAAAAATAAAAATTAAATTAAAAAAACAAAATGATAGGCCAAATTTATTGTTTGGCATAGTAGTGTGAATCACAAGAAGAGGAGAGAGAGAGGAAAAAAAGCCACCACACACCACTAAATATCACACGTGCTGCACCAATGAAAAGATTTTATAACGTTGCTTCCAACACAATTATAAATGGTAATTTAACATCATTTAAGGCGGCTACACGAAATGCTATAATGCGATGAACTAGCCTCCACATGCATTAGCCAATTTGCATTGTATATTTATCTTAACCCACTATTTTTTCTCACATTTTACTTTCATCCATTAACATTTAATTATTTTACATCAACATAATTTTATTCTATTTTTTAAAATTAAATATCAATCAAGTGCCATAATTTTCTCTTGACATTGGGAGAACCCCATGTCTATACAACAAAAACAAACTACAATGTTAAATAAAAAAATTCAATGTACAAGAATCAAATTAGATTAAAAAAAGTTAAGTGACTGAAAAAATAAATCATACAAATCAGTCCGTGATGTTAGCAAATAGAAAAGACTATGTATTTTTTTTAATATTTAATTTTGATCTTGAATCTCTAATTCTTTTAAATTAATAAAATTAAATTTTATTTTATAAAATCCAATATCAATTAAGCTAACATAATATTTTCTCGACATCACCGAGATATTCATACACAAGCATAATATAAATCACAAAGGTGAATCCTACATCAATACAGTGTTAAATGTAAAAACCTAGGGACCAATAAAAGAGTTTTCACCGTGCGAATCTAATGAAAGCTATCAATATGTGAATCTAATGAAAGCTCTTACGGGATATAGTAAATGACTGACGCCTCTTAGTTTTAGTTTTTATTTTTAGATACCATCATTGACTGATGCCTCTTAGTTTTAGTTTTTATTTTTAGATACCATCATTACCAGTACGTTCTTTTTAACATGAGACCATTTAGACTAATGGTGGGGCTGATAAGGGAGGCCTTTTTTAGTCTAGCTAAATAAACGTGATACTTTTTTTTTCCTGAGTCAAGCAAACAAGTGTTCACAATTCATGCGTTTAAGAAAAACGTGACCTCAGTGTTTATGAATATTTCAATTTTCTAATTAGATTATGAAAAAAATAGGTAATGATAATAAACAGATCAAATAAAAAAATTAATCACAGTAACCTAGAAAAAAAGTTTTTGTTCAAAAGGAAAAAAATAGTGTAACTTAATTTCTAGATAATTAAATAAATAAAAAAAAAAAAAATTGACTCGAGTCAACTCGAATTAGCATGATAAACCATAACTATGTTAATAATGATTTAGCCAATCTGAGTTAACCCATAAAATCTATAATTTAGGTCATGATATTGAGATAACTTGATAGGAAAAAAACCAAGAAATCACAAAACTTATTTTTTTAATAAAAAACAATGTTAAATGATAAAGTCAGCAGAGGAAATAAGAAAAAAAAAACAAAAAAAATCAATACCAATTAGTGTTAGTTTTTCAAATTCATAATTCAAGTAATTAGATAAAAAATATCTTATTTATAAAAATCACGAAACACAATTTTCAACCAATTAAATTTTTAAAAATAAAATTAAAAAAATATGTTCAATTATAAAAAAGAATAAAAAAATAGCAATAAAAGAATGATAATTAAAATTAAATTAAAAAATAAATTAGATGACAAGTACATATTTTTTATTGAAAGGTGAAATTGAAAAGGAGAATCAATATAAAAAAGGATAAAAAAATCAAAGGAATAAAACTCAAATTAAAAAAAATAATATATTATAAATTTGAATTGAAAGATAAAATTGAAAATAAATCAAAATTTTACAAGAAAACCTAGACTAAAAATTAGAAAAATAAGAATAAAAATCAAAGTTACAATCTCAATAAATAAAAATGACAACTTTAAAATTTTAAATATTTAATATAAACTTTAAAAAGAGAAAAAAAAAAGTATTGCCAACGATAAACTACCCTACTATAGTTGCCGCATCCCAATAACTTATTAATTAAATTTTATATTTATTAATATAATACTACATGATACCGTGATGAATTTAATTATAATTATAAAATATGTTAAAATTAAAAAAAAATATTTTAATTATTTTATTGTTATATATAAAAATATAAAAACATCAATAGAATAATAATAAATAATGAACTTTTTTAAAAACCGCAAAACTTTATAGTAGCCGGCCAATTGATGGAAAAGGTGAAACCATAATTACAGTTTTCTAGTGAAGCGAGCATGCTTTCAACTCACCAAATTTCATGTTTGTTTATTCCTGTATTCTGGCAGACAAAAATAATCACCATGGAAGACTAATTGCACACCAGAAGATCTAATATTCCGTGTGAAGAACGAGGATATAAGTTTATTTAAATGTCCTGTAGAACTTGCAAAGAGTCAAGATTAGAGTCATTGTTTATTGATCACCATATACATTCATAATGATAGAGATGTTACAAACGTGGATTAAAAAAAAATTAACTACCAAAGCTAGCTAACTAATTAAAATGCATCTACCTACCAACTACAAACCTTTAACCTAGGCAATAACAAACATATATTAATTCAACAATGACTTATTCCAAAGGGACTTTTTCCCCTCATGTTTTCTGGTCCTCGTTGAACATCCTAGTTTCTGCAGAAGCAAAATCCCATACTAGTAACCATAGTAGTACTGAAACTGAGGTTGGGCAAAACCTCCCGGTGATCCTCTAATTGCCCCGTCGTCTTCCTCCTCGTGCAATCCATCAAGCTACAAGATTTCAAACAAAAACAACACTGCACACTTTCAGTATACAAGCTGCATTTCATCAATCTAAATAAGATGATAAAACCTTACAGTAAACAGACATCAAATAAAACCAATACCCATAGCTCTTCCTCGTTGTCGTCCCTCGTAGAGCATGCAACCTTGGGGGTCTCACCAGTTTCTTCGTTTCGTGCGAATCTGCCACGTATACGTGGCCTGTTGTCCGCTAGTGTTTTGCGGCATGCATACTTGTATCAACACAACAATAATAATTAATCAACCTATATTAATGGATGGTTAAATATATATATAAAATATTTTGTATATTAGCCATTTCGAAAACATTCTTAGCCGATATAATATTAATTATATATATCATTAAACAACAAAAATGTATGTTTTTTGTGTTTTTGACCATGGCTTGACTCATTTGTATCCTTTTTGTCACAGTTAGATGAACTGTGACAAAATAATGATAACGTTAATTATTAGCAATGTTCTAACACCACTGTTAAATATGCGTACAGCATTTGTTTACTCACTTAACCAAAGCAGGTCTTACCTTAATGGTCTTGCTGAAGTTTCTCTGGTTACGTTTGGCTCTATACTTTGAGATTCTCTCCTTCCTTTCTTCAGCACTATAACGTCCTACTTTGAAGTTTGATTCTTCTATAAACGAGCTCTCTGTAGCTAAAGGACTTGAAACGGACCTCTGTGTTGTATGCGGTGTTTTGTTAATACTCTAAAACAAATCAAGACAAAACTATATTCCATTAGCCATTGATGACAGAGAAAACAGAGCAAGATCAGGGGACGAGACTCTAGAGTAGATTAGCGAGTGGTTTTACTTGTAAATCACCAGCGCTGCAAATCTTCCTCACTTGACCAGCAAGAAAGTTGTTTTCAGGTAAGCTGAAGGCTTGGCCTTGGTAATTTGGAGATTCCAAGAGAGTATCAAAGCGAGGTTGAAAGAGAAAGCCAGGGTTGCCTTCAAAAGAATTGCTACTATAGCTTCTTTGCATCATCTTTGCCACATTTTCTACACCAATATAACTATGAGGCATAAAAGATTGTTGATTGTAAGAGGGATCAAAACCCATTTGACATTCCTCAGTTTTCACTCCTAAAGCATCCAAGCCAGGGAAATTACCATACCCATCAGCCAGATTTTCACTATTGGCTAAAGCCTGCAAAGGGTTTGTGTAAAGTGACAAGTTCTCTAGTTGGTGACTTGGAGGTGAAGATGAGAAAATACTTGGGCTAAAACTGTCTACAAATCTAGAATTTTCAACTGGGCATTGAATGTTTTGGTTATCTGAGAATTCTTGAAGAATATCAATGGAAGAGTCGCGAAAAGGGGAGAAAGGGTCAGAGAAGAAAAGGTCACCTTCTGGAGAGACTATTTCTGGACTTGAAAGGTGGTAGAAAGGTGCATCAAGAACGTAAAGATCAGAAGACATTTCGTTAAGCCCAATTCCTCGAGAGAATTGAACTCTAAAAATACAAGAAAACTAGGACAAGAAACCTGAGAGAAGTTTTTGTTCTTGTTTCTTTGCTTATTATTTTTGTGTTTGAGAATGAACTGCCCCACAGCAGCACAGTTGACACTTGGCTCTGACTAATTTAATCAAGGCATGTCATTGCCTTAGCAACAAGACAAAATACATGCCAAGTTTCTGGTCTCTCTCAAAGTTGAAACAAACACGAAGAGCAGTCCACTTCACCTGTGTGATTTATAAAGCCATCTAATTTGCCCATATACCCTTATACTTTATCATAACTGAAACAACACCCTACTAACCGCGCGTGTGCGTATATATATTTTGACTTCCCCTCTGTCCAAATATATTTATTTGGTATCCTCCAAACATTATAAAGTACAATAAAATCTTTTACTTTTTTAATATAGAATAAAGTTTTTTCTTTTTTACCTAATATACAATCACCTAATGAGTAATATTGGATTGTAATATCTTTCAAGTTAAATCTTTTCTTAGGGTGAATATTTCAAAATTTTAAAAAAATTCATATCGGCCAAAAAACTTAAATTAGGATTTCATTTAATAGAATTAAAAATACTATACTACGCACAGATCTAATTAATTCAAAACAAAAATTCACTATTGTTTTAGCACTGATATAGTTTTGTGCTGCTTCCTGAATTTCTAAATTTATAAAATTTTCTAAACGTTTGTTGAAGTGGTACATAGGATGATCCATTTGAATTTTTTTTCTAGAACTTTAATCAAAACTTGTATTGTTTGTTGACTCTATTTTAATTTTAAAATTATTGATTTGTTCAGTAATTAAATTAGAATCAATTTAAAATTTATTTTCAATTAACTCAACATTTTTAAATTCCACAATTATATTAGAAGTTTAATTCAATATTTTTATATGCATTTAAATCTTCAGCATAGCCAACAAAATTTTCCTTTAAAGCTACATATCTTAATTTCATCATTTTAGAAATCAGAACGCTATTAAAAACAAGACAACCCAAACTCTGAGATAATTTAAGTTTAGTTTTCTTTTCTTTCATAATCAAACTCTAAGATAATTTAAGTTTAGTTTTCTTTTTTTTCATAATTCATATGAAGAAACTTTTAATTTTATAAAAGTAATTTTATTATTTATATGATAAGTAGTGAGTAAAGCGTCTCCTCATGAACTAGTATGCAACTTAACATTCACTAATATAGAGTTAAACATATCAACAAGTGTTATATTCTTTTTTTCTATCAAATTATTTTATGAAGGTTTACATGGAGCACTAGTTTGATATATGATTCTATTTTTTTCATGAAATGAAGAAAAATCTATGGAAAAACACTCGCCACTTCTATCACTTCTTAGAATTTTAATTTTCTTCCCCATTTGGTTTTCAAATTCTAATTTATAATTTATAATTCTTGAACATTTTGAAAGCTTGATCTTAATGTTTTATTAAATAAACATAATTATACTTTTAATAGTCATCAATAAAAGTTATAAAATATCTATTTTTTCCCTTAGTTAAGATGTTATTCAATTTCATATATTAGAATGCACAAGTTCTGGTAAATTTGTATTTTTTTTAACTTTAAGAAAAGTCTTTCTAGTCATGTTTGCTTAAATACATATTTTACATGTTATTTTATCTTTAATTTTTTCAAGAAATTAAATCATACTTAGCCATATATCTTAATAATCTAAAACTAATATGTGCCAAACGATTATGCCATAAGGATAAAGATAACTCAATCATATAAATAGGAACACTAAATTTATTACTATTATTTGTTTGAACATTCCATTATATGAGTAGCATTTCCTTACAAATAGTCTATTTTTGTACAAAATAATCTTATCAAACTTAAAAACAATCTTAAAACCCTTATTACAAAGCAAATTTACAAATACAAGATTTTTCTATATATTTTGTAGATGTAAGACATTAACTAACAATAATTTCTTTTTAAAAGTGAAATTTAGTTCAACAATTCCTTTTCTATTCACTTTTGCAACATTATAATTTCTCATTATAACTTTTTGTCTATCTTCTATGACTTTATAATTTTTAAAATGATTTTTATAGTTGCATATATGAATGGTTGCACTAGGATACCATATAAAGTTCAACAAACATTCTAATAAGCAACTTTGAAACTATTGCAACCAAATCAATTTCATGTTCAACCACATTTGCATCATTAGAATTCTCGACATTGCAAGAATTTCTTGTTTTTATTTATTTAAAAAATACACTTATTTCTATAGTGCATTTTCTTGAAACAATTTTAACAAGTCTTTCCTTTCTTTAATTTGTTTGGGTTGCCTGAATTTGTGAAGTTTTTTGCTACCTCAAAAAATTTCCTCTTGTTTCTAGCATTTTTTTTTGAACATTTTGATTTCCTTTAATATAATTCATTTTTGTTGCAGATTTAATAATGAATTTCTTTGCATGAATTATGGTTTTCTCTTCAATCCACAAGTTATTTTTGAATATATGCATGAGAAAATTATTATGTGGTATACAATAACTTTTTCTTGTAATCATTCTAACTACTTCTAATGCTTCATGAACTTCCAATTTTAATAGCATATGCTGTAATCATTTTATTTTAATTAAAATCATGCAAGACCATGCAACAACTCTTCAATTATAGGTATTTCTATGAGTGTTTACTAAGGTAATGGCTATAGCGAACAAGTTTTGAGGAGTAGAGATTATTGTCTGTATTAATTGCCCGCACTATATTTGATGCATAGTTAAAGCAATTTATCTTTAGGATATATCAAGGCTTTAAAACTTATAAACAACAACTTTTATAAATTTCTTAAGAAATCCTATTTTGTTTTTGATAAATATAAACAAAGAGTCTATAGAAAAAAAATAAGAAGAGAAAAAGATTATTTTTTATTGATTTATATCAATATCAAACTAATATTTATAAGGAAAATAATACATTTTCATATAAATCTGTTTGTAGAATTTAAAACACGTACATCTTCATACCAATATGTTTATAGAATTTTAAAAGCAACCCTTCAGATAAATTATCTGAATAATTTGAAAGGAAGAGTCATTTATAATCAATTAATTAATTTTGAAAATAAAAAATAAAAATATTTATTTTACATAATACAAAATTTTCAAGTGCTAAATGTCATCACACATATAACACACATCTACATTTTGACTTTCCCTCTAAATCTTCCCTCCAGTCTTCAAATCTATTAATTTAACATCCCTCACATTACAGGGTATAATAAAATCTTTTTTCTAGCATGGGATATAATTCTCTTTGCTTATCTAGCTAATGTACAAGCTAATTTTAGTGAACAATCGGCAAAGGGTGAGAAATATAGTTGTTTATACATAGAAATAGAAATAGAATCTATGTTTTTAATTTAGAAATGGTGTTCATTATTATAGGTGTAAATTTCTATGTTCACAAATCTAAAATATAAATACTAAGTTCATATATCTTTTGAGATACATATTTTTTTTTAATGCTTTTTAGTGACACCTAAATTATTATTTTGATTTTTGAAAATATACAATAAAACAAATGCAATTTTCATATAACCAAAAATTAAAAGGTGTTAAAAAAACAACTATTTACCCACATTTATTGCAATTTGAATTACAATAGTAATTCACAATATTCTGATTTTTTTAATTATTGAATTTTTATTATAATTTTTTATAAAAACTATTTTTATCAAATTTATCTTTTAATATTAGATTGATTGAAAATTGAGTTTTGTAATTTGTTTATTTTCATTTAGTCGTTATATAGGTTTAACATGGTTTGCAAGTTTGGCATGGTAACCTAGCTTACCTTAGCTTACGGGTTTGACAGGGTTTTTTTTTTAACTGCACTTGATTTTTTTTTTTTATCATCAATGTTTTTTTTATATAGTTAAAAAAATTAGCTTAAGAGAAAAACTATGTTATTAAACTTTACAAAGTTTATAAACTTATTCACAGGTTTGGCTAATTAACCTAGTTAATGGATTTGACAAGTTTAACTCTTTTTTTCCTTTCAATCAATTTCTTTTCTTCAATTTCATCCTTGGATAATGGAATAATTAAGAATTTAATTTTATAATTAGTTTAATTTTTTTCTACGAGGTTATTACGATCTCAAAAACAATCTTGGTATTAGGTTGGTGTTTGATTTTGCAATCGTCTATTTTTGTTATCGAATAGTTAAATAAAAAAATAATTTTTTAAAAAAACAAATTATAATTTTAGTAGAGTCAATGACTCAGTTTACAAGTTTGACGTATTATCCTGGGTTACTCGATTTATAGGTTTGACAAGTTTTTCCATCAACTGTATATGCCTTTTGTTTTGTTTTTAATCCTCTACTTTTTTAATTGATTTTTTTTTTCAATTTCACTCTTTAATATTGAATTCGTTAAGAAATAGATTGCATGATTTATTTTTATTTACTTGTTATAGTATTTTCACTATCTCAAATAAATGTTTATTTTAGTATTGGTGTTCAATTTTATGAGTATCTATTTTTATCATCTAATAAAATAAAAAAACTTAAAAAAAAAATTATCAAGCCTAATAAAGTCCATAACTCGGGTCGCAGGTTACAAGATTCAATCTAATCTGTCGTTGTCTCAATAAGTTTTTAAAAGCTATCATCTTAATTTTTTTTTTAAATAAGCTTTATTTTTACTGGTCACCCAGATTGTATTCGAACCCATGAAATCAATTAATTTAAGTTTGACCAAATCCTACACGATTTAATTAAAAACTCTAGTTAGGAAAAGAGTTGGGTCAAGAAATTTCAAGATTGCCTTACTTGCCCTGGTTTAATAATATTATCAAAAAATTCTCTATGCTTTTAATATTTTTTTATATTTAATTTTTTTTATTTCAATTCATACACAAGCCAATGAACTAATTAACTATAACTAAAATGACCGAGTCTTTTATTGTGGACTATACAATGCAGTTCACAATAAAAAGATTGAGCTCTTTTTTTTTTCTTTGTTTTTCTTAAGCTGTTTTTTCTTTATTTTTTTTATTTTTTTATGAATATTTTTTTTGTTAATGTTAATTTTTTTCTATTTATTTATCAAACTTTTAAGACACAGATTCCGGATTTGACAGGTTAACCTGGATTTTTTTTTATTTTTCATTAATTTTTTTGTTTAATTTAATT